AAGATAATAATTCTTTCATTTCATTTATTACACTATTTTCTAATCTTTTTGTCATTTTACATTATGCTATCCATCAAGTTTGGTTTCTATATTTTGACTAGTGGGTAAATTTCTTTCCTTTTTTTTCTTGATATAGTATCTTCCTGCTTCAATTTTAGCTGCATTTTTCATGATGTCAGCTAAGACATTAGTATTGTCTAATGCAACCAACATAACGATTTTCTCCTTCAAATCAGAAATATACATTCAAGTAGTATAGTCTCCTGGTAATACTTTAGCAGGGTCTACTTTGACCAATAGACGTTTAAACCTTGTGGAGTATTCATCTATTCTTTCATTTTTTTCTTATCGAATGTTATGCAATTCGTAATGCCATTTATTTTTATTTTCTAGTGTTGTAAAGTGTTGAAGGAAAAGAGGTTCAAAGGATCTATTAGTATTAGTGTTATTGTTTCAATAATTGATAGTGATATCATCGTACTATTGTGTTACAACTTCTTTGAGATAAGCAGCAGCTATTTGTAATTTTCTATTGCTAGACCAGTTGTTGGCACTGGCAGCTCTGTTAAAGTTAGCAAGCCATTCAGAAGGGTCCTCAGTGACCTTTCCATGAAACAATTCTATAAGGAACACATGCATTTCAAATTTTATGAATTGAGCAGTTTCTTTAAATCCATCGGTTACTTTTTTAAGGAACTCTTTTAATTGTTCTACTGTTAAAGTCATATTTGACTCAATAGTACTTGAAGAAGCTAAAGGTAGTGTAGTTCCTGAAGTACCAGTAAAAGGTTGAAGTGTATTTGTAAGTGCTAAAATAGAAGTGAGTATTTGAGTTTTATGTTGTAGTTGCCTATGTTTATTGATCTGCTTTTGGAAATAGTTTATAATAGAATCTCTAACTTCTTGAAATCTTTCAGGAATTTTAGAATATACTATGCTAAAAATTAAATTTGTTGTAGCAGTAAGTATGTTTATACGTTACTCTCCCCAAAGCTCAGCTAGTGTACCAAATTCAAAATAATTTAAAATATTTAGCAGGTTGTAGAGGTAGAGTATAATAGAGACTACAATAATCTTTTTGTTCAGTAACAGTACTTGAAAGGTGATGTTTTTGTTTGTATTGTCTTGTTTCGTATTAATGTTTTTTCAATAATTCAGTATATGTGGTCATGAACTTTTTTAATTTGAAACTTTTTAATCTCTTTTTTCTTTCTTTGAAATATTAAAGAAGTTTTGACCATTATCAATTAAGATGTTATCTCGAATTCACACGTGATGTTTAATTTGGTCTAAATAATCTTTTACGCAATTTTAATTTTTAAGATATAGGTAATTTCATAGTTAGGGTCTTTTTCTTGTCTTTTCAATTCTCGGTTGACAATTTCCTCTACTGC